CCCCGCTCCTGGCCTAATTGCCATTACTTTTCATAATTATTTTCACGAGCCAAGGAAGACTCCAGGAACGGAACCAGCCAACCACAGCTGCTGGGCTCTAAGGGTCCCTGGGAAAATACCTAATGACTGCTGAAACCTCCCGATTCAAAGCTGCCAGGGACCCGGGAGTCCTTTCGGCCTCACACTTGATAAACCAAGGGACAGACGCCCGGGGGTGACTTCCTTCATCTCACACAAAACCGGATTTGAAAGCGGGTCTCATTTCTCCTCCCGTGTGAACGTGCTCCAAAGCGGGGAGGAGGGGCCGCTGACTGTAAAGCTCTCCGCCCCCACGCCGGACAAGCCACACGGTCGGCCCCGCCAGCCACGAAGGCGGGTCCCAGGACTCCGCGGATGCCAGCATCCTGGGTGCTCAGCGCCCTTCCGCAAGAGGGCACAGTGCTGCCCGTGACCTGTGCCTGTCCTCCCGGACACCCTGCACCACCGCCAGATGGCTTCTAACGCCCAGTACGATGTACGCGCCACGGGAATGGTCGCTATAGTGCACTTTAAACTTTACTTTTACTTTAAAATGTACTTTTTTGGCCAGGCGCAGTGGCTCACGCCTGTCATCCTAGCACTCTGGGAGGCTGAGGCAGGAGGATCGCTCGAGGTCAGGAGTTCGAACCAGCTGAGCAAGAGCGAGACCCCCGTCTTCTCTAAAACAGAAAGAAATTAATTGGCCAACTAATATTATAAGAAGAACTTAGCCGGGCGTGGTGGCACATGCCTGTAGTCCCAGCTACTCGGGAGGCTGAGGCAGGAGGATCGCTTGAGCCCAGGAGTTGGAGGTTGCTGTGAGCGAGGCTGACGCCACTGCACTCTAGTCCAGGCGACAGAGTGAGACTCTGACTCAAAATAAATAAATAAGTAAGTAAATTTGTATTTTTATTGCTGCTGCTGTTGCTGTTGTCTAACCCCTGAGCATTTTCGATTTGAGGCCGGTCGCGCCGCAGTGCGGAACTCACAGACGCAGGACGTGGCAGACGCGGAGATGCAGTCCTGGAGCCACGTGGCCCATCCTTGGGAAACGGCAACTCGAGCCCACGCGACCACGGACCCGCGCCGCACCCGAGGCACACGGTCACCCGGAGCAGAGTGACGCCGGCCGGGAGCAGGCTGCAGCCCCCGTGTCTCCAGCGGGGGCCGGCGGCCAGGGTGTGGCCGCGATCACTACGGCCTCCCCGGGGGACAGCGCTCCCGGCCGGCCACTGCTGCTCGGGACCAGCTACTCTGCGGCGAGACGAGCTGAGTCCCCTCCCCGGGGCTCCCGGGCTCCTGTCCTCGACTGGCCGGACACAACCCTCGTCCACCTCGCTTTCTCCAGAGGAAGAGACGCTCGGGCCCAGCTCGGGACCTCACAGGTCGGCCCCAGGCTGCAGGGGCCCTCCCGGCACCGTGGCCCCAGGGAGGCCACCGAAGATGGGGAGCAGGGAGAGCGAGAGCATGCATGCGCCCCCACAGGGCCCCCACCCGTCGTGGCAGGGGCCCCCATAGCCAGGCCTGCCCCCCTCCCTGGAGAGGAGACGGTCCCCGTCCCCGAGAGCTGCACGTCGCAACCCCACGGTGGCATTTCATCTGGAGCCCGAGCCTGTATGTAACGCGTGTGTGAAAACATGACACTACTATCCGTGACGCCTTTCCAAGATAAAGAACTCGGAGGAGGCTGGGCGTGATGGCTCACGCCTGTCATCCTAGCTCTCTGGGGGGCCGAGGCGGGAGGATCGCTCGAGGTCAGGAGTTCCCAAACAGCCTGAGCAACAGCGAGACCCCGTCTCTACTAGAAAATAGAAGGAAATTAATTGGCCAACTAAAAATATATAGAATACATTAGCCAGGCATGGTGGCGCATGCCTGTAGTCCCAGCTACTCGGGAGGCTGAGGCAGGAGGATCGCTTGAGCCCAGGAGTTGGAGGTTGCTGTGAGCGAGGCTGACGCCACGGCACTCCCTCTAGCCCGGGCAACAGAGTGAGACTCTGTTTAAAAAATTAAAAAAATAAAAAAAAATCAGGAAACAGAGGGAATGACTTGGGGGTTCTACCTTCTTATTTGGCCAATAGAAAAAAGAATAATCCATCATCCATTATCAACACCATTTCACTAAAAAGACGCTGGAGTTAAAAATAAAAAGAAGATAAGCTCTTTACATGCCAGAACAAAGAGAAAAAAAAAAAAGAAAAAAATATATAAAAGACTTAAAATTTTAATAATATAAAAAAAAGTTAAAAAAAATAAAATAAAAACGAGAGAGAGATGCGATCTCAGGGTAAACGGTCACACAGTCCTCCAGGGCAGTGCACTGATGTATGAGGGGGTCTGCGCCGCCCTCGGCTCCGCACGTGGCCGTGGCCTCACCTGGCGGCCGTGCGGCCTCACCTGGCAGCCGTGCGGCCTACACGGTAGCTCAGCTGATCCCGCCGCGGGGAGTCGCTTGCGGCTGCAAGGGGGTCTCGGCGGCCTGCGAATGACCGCGGCGCATGCACTGGGACCCCAGGGACGCGGCGGCGGGGCGGCCTCCCGGGGACAGGAAGGACCGACCGCAGGACCCGCTCTTCCCCCGCAGAACCAAGCGGCGACCCCAGCACGAAGCGACACGCGTACCTGCGCCCTCGGCCTAGGTGACCGGCTCGTGCTCGTCGTGGTCACCAATCTCACCTTGGCACAACGCTCCCATGACAGGCTCGCAAAGCGCGTGCCGGCGCAGGCGGGGACCGGGAGGGAGGACAAAGGCCACCGCGGGCGGTCGGCGGCCCACGCGGGCTGGGCGGGGCACACGGCGCCAGCTGCAGCGGAGGCAGTGGCTGCGGTCTCACCTGCCCGCACCTGCCACGCCACGTGGCGCGGCCGGGCACGCACACTCACGGGAGGAAACGCCCTTCGCTAAGGGCGCCGAGCACCCAGGCGCCCTCACTCGAGACGGGGATGTTCAAGCCTCACTCGAGACGGGGATGTTCAAGCCTCACTCCAGACGGGGATGTTCAAGCCTCACTCCAGACGGGGATGTTCAAGCCTCACTCGAGACGGGGATGTTCAAGCCTCACTCGAGACGGGGATGTTCAAGCCGAGGCCAGGAACGCGCCGGGTCAGGCAGACGCGGGCCACGGCGAACTCTATGGCGTGTGAATTACACCCCGGTAGGCTTTGATCAGGGCGCGTGTGTGCGTGTACACCCGCCCCACGCACGCTCACACCTCTCCACCTGAACTCCCGCCCAGGGAGCCAAGACAGAAAAAGGACTGCACGAAGGAGGGTATTAGAAATATTTAAAGGAATCCTTTTAAATACCGTGTCTACCTAAAAGTTACGCTATTTGTGTTATCATTAAAACTGGAAGATATTTTAGAGACGTCTACAAGAATTCTGGTTTTTACTATTATTTTAAATATAAGCTTTCAGACTTAGCTTCCAAAAAAAATCATCTGCTCATCTTTGACTAATCTTTCACTCACCCTGGCTTTTCCCTATTCGTTTGTATTGGTTCCAAATTGGTTCAAAGTTACTGAATTTTCAGTTAAGAGGCAGAGAAATGTACAGCGGACAATAATAGCCACAGTGTCTACAGATACACAAATTAATTCTTCTAAGTAACACACATGGTTCAGACTCCTTTCTGGTCATCTTGTGATGGCATACCCTACAATTTTGGATAAAAACCATAAACACATATCGATCATTCATTCAACAAACATTTATGGAATACCCACTCTGCTCTAAGATCTTGGGGCAATTTTCTTTGCACATCCCTCAGCCATTGGGTTGTTTTTTTTTTTTTTTTTTTTTTTGAGACAGAGTCTCACTCTGTTGCCCAGGCTAGAGTGAGTGCCGTGGCGTCAGCCTAGCTCACAGCAACCTCACACTCCTGGGCTCAAGCGATCCTGCTGCCTCAGCCTGAGTAGCTGGGACTACAGGCATGCGCCACCGCCCGGCTAATTTTTTTCTATATACTTTCAGTTGGCAATTAATTTCTTTCTATTTTTAGTAGAGACAGGTCTCGCTCTTGCTCAGGCTGGTCTCGAACTCCTGACCTTGAGCCATCCTCCACCCATCCTCAGCCATTGTATCAGTTTTCAAATGTAACTCATGTTTTGCAGCCAAGCCTGAATTATGACCAAACGATCGATTGCAGCGGGATGTCAGTAGGGTTTGTCTTTCACAACAGAGTACCGGCCCTGAAAAGGAGCTGTCCCTTGCACACCACCCGGGTGTGGGCTCCCGATGGCAGGGACGCCGTGCCAGCCGCCGGGCTGCCCTCTACCTGGATGGTGGTGTTGCCTCCTCTAGAAGGGCGATGGCCAGCAGGCTCGGGAGGCACCCGGTCACTGGTCGCGTTCATGATGAGGTCGATGACCAGGTTGGAGGCCCTTCCTGTTTCCAGGTGACACTGGACCTCGGCCAGGCTCATCTCCCCCCTGCTCATGGAACCGGATCCGGAACCCTCCCCTGGGAAGATGGAACATTGTTTTTAACAGGCACGATCGGGGCGGCTAACGAGCATCGCATACACGGTCCCTAACCCCTTCCCTGTTATTTCTGTTTATTTTTATTTTATTTTATTATTTTTTTATTATTATTATTTTTTGAGACAGAGTCTCGCTCTATTGCCAGGCTAGAGTGAGTGCCGTGGCGTCAGCCTCACTCACAGCGAACGTCAATCTCCTGGGCTCAAGCGGATCCTCTGCCTCAGCC